TTAAAACCAAAAAAAAAAAAAAAAAAAAAAAAAAAAAAAAAAAGAACAACTTTCTAAGCTGCATAAATTCCTCTACCTCTTTGTCAGACCACACGACCCACCCTGGTATAAGACACAGCTCCTGGGGGCGACCAGTGGGCATTCACATGTCCCACCAGGAGAAAGAGAAATAGACCCAGAGTTCAGAAAAGTTGTGACCCCTGAGTCCTACAGGATGAGTCTGAAATACTCACCCGACCAGGGCATGTGATTCAGGATCTTCTGCAGTTGGACTGCATTTATTTCTGGATGCTGGAGCAGAAGCAGAGGGATAGAAGAGAATCATCATTCCTGAAGGCTCGTTAGATGCAGAGGGCCCACAGCTAAAGGGGGTTGGGAAAGGCCTCTCCCACGTCTGCTCAGGGGGGCAACATAAGCCATTTCTGGGCAGAATAAGTGACGCCATTTTCCTGCACATAAGGAACGTGACTAGACGTATAATTCAATCTGGAACTTCATAAGAATTTCTACCACAGTTTAACTGGGTGCCAAGTTCAGAGCACCCCAGCAGGGCAGCACTCTTAACAGGTAGACTAATAGCGGTGATTCTCAAACTGGGTTCTATAGAGATGCTTTGAAAGTTCAGCAATTGGGTTTCAGTTTTATTATTAATAAACTGTCCTTAGCCAAGAGTCCAGATTTCCATTTTAGAGTTCAGAAAAGCAACCCTTTACATGAACATTTAACTTTAGAACATATTAATGCGATATCAGTACCATAAATTTGAACTTATAAAATGGCTATAAGTTATCTGTTCAAATTTATCTGTTTTATATATGTTAGGTTTCTCTGTGAGATTCCATTTGATAAAAAGGACTGCCGCAGAAGATGTTTGGAAACCCCTGGTATGAAGGAAAACATTTATAAACAACACACATAAGATTCTGATGTATCCTCTCTGATGACATTAAGCAAAATGCCAGTGGTGAAGATGAGAGAAGACGGGAGGGCTGTTACTAACACAGGCAGTTCATGTTCTTCCAGTTGTAATGACATCACTCAGACGTCAGGCCCAGCTTTCTTGCCCTGTTTCTAAATGTATTTCACATCCTTCAGGTTAGGGGACGGGGTGGCCTCTTGCTGGTGCTCAAACCTGGGTCAGCCCAAGGAAAGAACTGGAAGGGACCAGGAGGGTAGCCTTCCTCCTCCCCAATGCCTCTTACCAGTTCCACCCCCACCAACCCACCCACGGGGTCTTCTCCCTGGGCGTCCCTCCCCCAGACGCCCCAGGGCTCATCATTGCCAGGCTCCATCCACACCTCCCAACACTGAGTCTCACCTCTGCCATATTCCATTGTCACAGGGATTAAAAATTAAAGTTGTTTTTCCTACAACAAATCAATGTAGCTTCCAAGAACGGATATGCATTTTACAGGAGCCTCCTGGAAACAACAGCTCTACTCATTTGTCTAAAACCTTGAGGGCTTTCATAGAAAGTGGCAGTTTGGGGACTAGGAAGCCTTAAATCACAATTTACACACAGGGTCAGGCAGATGCAAACCCACCCGCCTTGGGATTATAGGCTCCACAGCGTGCCCTGCTCCTTGCTACCTCCCTTGGTTCAACTTACCTTTTCAAAGAGTTGGGTGAAGAATTCATCCTGCCCTCCATTTGGTCTACAGTTTCCTATAGGAACAGACACACAGAAGGACTTGGTCATTCCCCTGGACGAATGGACTCTTGTGCACACACTAATGTGCTCACGGCTCCAAGGCCTCTGAAATCTGTGAGTCTGACCTTGAGTGCTGGTTTAAATGTTTTACCATAGCACTCACCCACATCCCTGTTTCTCCAGTCGTCACTGGCTTTGGGGAAGGTAGCAAACCGTGAAAGGGGCAGAAGAAACACCAGGTAGAGAGAAACAGGAGAACATGGAGGTGTGACTCATGCATCTGGGGCTCTGGGCCTTCCATGGCAAGGACCTGACCAGAGGGCAGTTATTTTGGTGCAAAAACAGCAGAACCTGCATACTTCTAGGGCACACGATAGATAACATACTATGTGTGCCATAGAGTAGGGCCTGCAGGATCTGCAGACCTCTTCCCCGGACCCCTGAATGTGAGGGGAGAAGTCCCCCTTCCCAGCTCTGTAAACGGTCCCCATCAGGTGGAATTCCACCTGACAACTCACCTTAGGGAAGATGACACTTGAACTGTGGCCAATTTCACTGAGGCGGGAGAAAAGACCGAATTACTTCTTGGGGATCATTTTGGGAACGTTTTGACCAATATTCTCCCACCCCTGGGAACTCACCTTCCCAGTTCCTTAGCTGACACCCCACTTGCCCTTGAAGTGTGCAGTCTGGCACAGGGCTCAGCACACGGCTGTACCTCCCCACGTGCCCTGTGTTCTCACCCCACGGCCTTTGCTCAAGCAGGACCCTCCTCCCCGTGTGCCCTTTCCTTCCCCCGCCCTCATCTAACTACTCCCACTCATACATTCAGACTCAGTGGTCTCACAAGGCAGTGAGGCCTGGGACCAAGATAAACTATCTATGCCCGAAATATGATGGAAAAAGAACTGGGTTCTAAGCAGTGAAGGGCTGTCATGCCAGAACAATCATAGGCAAAATACAGGCCTACCTCATTTCACTGTGCTCCGCGTTAGTGCATTTTTTTTTTACAGATTGAAGGTTTCTGGCAAGCCTGCATAGAGCAAGTCTATGGGCGCCATTTTTCCAACAGCATTGGCTCACTGCCTGTCTCTCTGTCACATTTTGGTAATTCTCGCAATATTTCAAGCGTTTTCATTATTATATTGGTTACTGTGATCTTTGATCAGTGATGTTACTATTGCAAAAAGATTCTAACTCACTGAAGGCTCAGACAATGGTTAGCATTTTTTAGCAGTCAAGTTTTTTTTTTTTTGGCTGCACAACTCAGTATGCAGGATCTTAGTTCCCCGACCAGGGCTCCAACCTGTGCCCCCTGCAGTGGAAGCGCAGAGTCCTAACCACTGGACAGCCAGGGAATTCCCTAGTATTTTTTAATTAAGGTATGCGCATTGTTTTTTTAAGACATAATGCTATTGCACACTTAATAGACTACAGTACAGTGTAAACCTAATTTTTATATGCCCTGGAAAACCAAAAAAATCCTGTGACTCTCTTTAACGCAGTATTTGCTTTATTGCAGTGGTCTGGAACTAAACCTGCCATATCGCCGAGGTAGGCCTGTAATAAGTTTGGCTGGGATGAGTGTATATTGATTCGTCTGAGCCTGATGGTTGATGACAGCCCCCCTCAACTGAACAAACCCTGTGCATCTCTCAGGAATCACCACGTCCTTGAAGCCACCCCTGCTTCCCCCAGGACCATGGAAGGGTGGCTCAGATGCTTCTCCTTGGTGCTCCCCAAACACCCTGGACAGATAAACGCTTACCCCAGACACAGCATAACATAAATAACTGTTCATATGTCCATGTCCTTTCCAGCCTTTGAGCCCCTGGAGGGCAGGGGCCAGACCTGTTCTAGCTTTTTCTCTCTACGTCCAGCAGCGTTCATTTGTTAGAAGGAGAGCGGGGAGGAGGAAGTGAGGGATGTCTCCGCGCAGACAGCTGCCCTGCTCTCCTGCTCACCCTGTCCCCTGTGTTGGTCACAGAGACCCCCGTCCTCCGCCATTTTCGCCTCACCCTGCCCCCCTCCCCTGGCCTGAGTGGACCCCAACCTCCGGGAGAGGCCTGGACCTTACTAAAAGACGCGTTTCCTGGAGAAGACTCTGAGGACAAACTCAGACTCCTGGCGGGACTCAGATGTGCAGGGCACAATGACGTATGTCCCAGGCTCCAGCCACAGCTCCCGACTCACTTCCTTCTCTCTGAGAAACGTCTCAGGCCAATTCAGGGGAGCATTTTTCCAGAAGAACTTGGGAGGCAGTCTCCTCTGGTCATCATAGCTCTGTGGGTAGAGGACGGGCACCTTTGCTGGAACCCTACATGAGGTTGAATAAATATGTCGACTGATTTGACCTTGTGTTAAAAACAATATCATACACAAAATGAGGTGAGGAATGTCACTGTGTCTGCACTTTCTACTTCACAGTTGAGGGTCTGAAGTTCAGACGAGTTAGGTCATCTGCACAAAGTCACCTAGCGGGTAAGAGTCTCAGCCAGGATTGGAATTCAGGGCAGCTGAGCTCCAATGTCCACATTCTTAATACTTCCTGAAGCTGCCTCCATGTATGTGCTACAATTTCAAGGTTGATTATGACATGATTATGCTCATAGGTACAGACGGACCACCAGCCATCTCCCTCCATACAGATCAACTGGATATTCCATGTCATCTCAGTGAAAGCAGCCTCATAAAGAGGAAAGAGCGTGGTCAAAGCTCAGAAGACCCAAATCAGAGGTCTGGTTTGTGTTTTGTTTTATCTCTTATTTTTATTCTCTCTTTCTCTCTCCCTCTCTCTTTTATATCCCCCTTTGGCCCTATTTTTCTCTCTTGCTTCCTCTTCCCTTGGCTCTCATGCAGGGCTATGGAGGGAGGGGAGATCCATAAAGGGGGATGCACACAGTTGCTGCTAAAGACACTATCCACCACATAAAGACATTTCCCAGATTCCACTTCGGGCTGGGGAAACAAAATGTATCTCTTGGTGATACATGCTTTCTTTACTGAGACAATGAGAACTAGAAAATCAGCCCTTTGCTGTCTTTGCCCTGGCTGCCAGGAATCTCAGAACTAAATTTTATAATCAGCTGTAGTAGCTGTTCTAGGTTTAGTGTTCCTGGTAGAATTAACTGCTTTCCTATCCCTCGTCTATGTATAACTTTTTTCTCGCCTTTTGAATTCTGTAACTGGTTCATAGTTTTGTTCTGTTTATACTTTTTATTGTAGGATGACCCAATTCTATTTAGGAATAGGCTTGATACAAATAGCTTTTTTTAAATATGAAATAGTAGAATTTAATAGAAATTCATGGCATTTTAGATTTGTCTAGATTTACCAATGTCTATTTTGAGATCTGGCATCATTTATACTATTTCCTAAACTTTTTTTTTGAATTTTATTTTATTTTTTTATATAGCAGGTTCTTATTAGTTATCTATTTTATACATATTAGTGTATATGTGTCAATCCCAATCTCCCAATTCATCCCACCACCACTCCTCGACTAAATAACTTTTTCTTTTAAAATTAATAGGCAACTTTGGGAGCGCTCAGTATTCCCTCGGGAGGAAAACAAAAAACCCAAACCGAGCCAAGACACCCAATGCAAAATGGTCTCTTTACAAAAAACCTTTTACTCGATTCAGTCCAATCTGAGAAAATTAAGTTTTTCACTCCTGTGTTCTTTGGGAAACAAAGAATAGCTGCCACCCTTCAGAGGCTGGGATAGCTCAGGCCTTCTTAACTGATCCCTCTAGGCTGCCACTGCAGCTGAAACACAGAGCTGTTGCTATCCTCTGCCTGTGATTCTGTTTTGTTTTCCCAGCCTTTGTCCCTTGTCCCCTAGTAGGTGGGCTGCATGGGCTCCTGATGTCCCATCTGTTATAGATCTATTTTATTATGGGCTTCATAACTCAGGCAAGATTGTGATTTTTCATTCTTCCTATGTTGTGACAGTCTTCAATATTAGCCCTAAGTATTTATGTAGGGATTTAATTGATTCTAAAATTTATTGGTTCTACATCAGGCTCAGACCTGTCTATGGAGGTATAAGGACTTTGGGGGGCCCTTGGATAAAAAAGAACAGCAGATGCTCTTTACTTGCACACACAGAGGCAGTTGGCATTATTGCCAGACCTTCCCATGGCTCCTTACATAAGGCTGCTGCAGTCTCAGTGAACCCGGGACATCACTCCCTACCAGGGCCAGCCTGGCAAGTGTGCAACTCACCTTGCTCATCTGAAAAGCAAAGAAGAGAGGCCTCATTAGGCAGTGAATCCAGCTCTTTCACAAGCATGAATTCTCATGGAGGCTGGTATACAAGAAGACTCTACCCAGAGGCCACTCCCCCTCCCATAAGACTTGCTGTTCCAGTCAGTGACATTTTAATCCATCATCAGAAATCCTGGAAAAACGTGAGGCAAGGTAAGCTTGGCTTTGGGGGAGGGGCAAAGGGAACTAGAATTAATTGTACCAACTGTGTGCCAGGCACAATGATAAGCACTGCTACACGATCTTCTTTTACTCCACCTTTTGCATAAATATCATTGTCCCCATTTTACAGATGTAGAAACTGATGTTCAAATGCAAGAAGGTGGCTTGTTCTAGATCACATATTCCCAAGGATTTGCACCCATGGTAGACAGAGAAGGATGTAGGTAGACAGAGATGGATGGTGAAGAGGACAGGAAACAGGAAGAAAGGATAAGACTCCACGAGAGGCCCACCTACCCTGAAGAGGTAGAAGCCAATGGCGAGGTGAGGCTTCACGTTGCGGTGCCTGTGCCTGGGCTTCTGGAGCAGGGACACCAGCACACTGCAAGGCATCTGGAACCTCCTGCCCTCCTGGGGCCTCCAGACTGACAGCAGGAACTTCGGGTTCTTCCAAAATGTGTCTGGGGCAGAACACAGCCAAGGTGAGACAGGCTCCCCTAGCATCCTGCTTGCCAAACCACAGAGAGGAGCACAGACCCAGGGTGCTGCCCCGGGATTCCTACCCAAGGTCCACCCGGACAGAGCTGGGCTGTCTCTCACCACAGCTCCGTCCCCTTCCCTCCCACCTCTTCTACCTCGGGTTTTTCTATGGACACACAGACCCGAGAGTGACTCTCCACTGTAGCTTTTGCCCAGCACACTGCCCTACACAGACTTTGTGTCCTGGAGATGTTCACTGCCTGGGTCAGTGACTGTTAACTAACTGAAGAGAACGTGCCTGTGGTCCCAGGGGAGCAGCGTTTTAACGGGGACCAAGCCTTAGTTTATGTGCAGCTTCAGCCTTTGGGGGGACACTGTGGGGGAGATGAAGCCAGAGCCAGGGCCACCCGGGCCCCGCTGAGACCTTACCCCCTTCAAATCTTTCCTACCCAAGAGATGGCCCATTGTGGAGAAAGGGACCCAGTCCCCAAACCTCTCCACTTGCAGGATGTATACACTTTCATCTCCTATACGTGATGACCTGGGAATCCTTGATTTTGTTTCTCTACCAAACTCTAGGTAAGGAGGGCCTGATACATAGGATATAAATACTATTTCAATCCTGCCTGTTATGGGGTGGTTACTTCAGCATATCAGTGACCTTGTCCTAAAACCACAGAAAAATGTGACCCAACCTTCTACTATGCCTGTGCGCCTGTGGCCGCCTGGTGCCGATTAGGAAAGGGAACCCTCTGGAAAGACACACCCCCAAGAGGTAGGCAGCCTGACTGAGAATTCTACGCCCTGGTGCAAATTAGGACAAAGGTGCCCCATCTTCCTGGTTCACATAGCCCAGGGCCAGTGCACGCAGCTTGGCCAGCAAAGCCCCCTCACCTTCAGCCAGGGGCCCTGGGCAGTGGCTCTGTCTGCAGCCCCACCTCTGCCTGGAGAAGCTGCCACTTTAGACCCAAGAGCCCCTGGCTCCTGTGCACAGGCTCACCTTGGGGTGACTTTGTCGGGCCACCAGCCGTGGTCCCTTTCTCCCATCTCCCCTTCAGCATGGTGTACGACCACTTCTGGCCCACCTCCTGACTCAGCAGGCCTGGGCTCAGTTTACAGATGACCAGAAGCATGAAATGTGCTTTAAAGTCCTGCAGTGTCATCCTGTGTTGAGGATGAAGGAGATGACATCCAGTCACCAGGACCAGAAGGGAGGCTGCAACTAAGTAACGGGCATCCTAGCCCTCTGCTGGACCCAGGGCCCCAGCCTCCACACCCCCATGCAGAGCTGAGCTGGCTTTGGACCCCTGAGACTGGGGCTGCATGGACCAGTGTGAGGGTCCATCTCGGGCAGGTGGTGCTACCAAGAAACCCCACCCTGTGGCTGGAAGCAGCCTCCAACAATGGCTGACTGAGGGCAATGTTCTTGGGCCACTGATGGTGGTGATAAAGTGGAATTGGGGCATTCATAGCTAGTCAATTGATTTATACACGTTCAATAAGAATTGCACAAATCAGTTCCTCATCATCAATTGATAAAAATCTTCGCCCCAATTGGCTAACATTGTGCCCCAAGGCGTGTTGTCTGAACCAGCTCAGTTTACTATCTGTAAACGGACATAACAGTATTTGCAGGACTCTTGAGTTCAATGACCACTTACTTCAAGAGCGAAAGGGCCACAGCAGTCTGCAAAGGATGGGTACAGGGAGAGGCAGGACAGCGTGGGAGTTAATGGTAAAGGGTGAAACGTGGAAGGAACGGGGAGCAGGTGGGTCTCACGTCAGACACCCAGAAGCAGCATCAGCTCAGGGTGTCTGGTGGCCTTTCATGAAAAGGGGTGAGAGGCTTTGGGGTGGGTGGGGGTAGTATTGCTTTGCTCTGGAGGGCACAGGTGCGGTGGCTTATAGTTGGCAAGAAACAGAAGTCGGAGAGGAGGCAGTGGCCACACCCACCCTCTGCTTTGAGCACCCGCTGAGTTCCATGCCAGGGGTCTCTGCTCTCATCACAGAGACTGTAACTGTTTGATTGCCCTGCTAGGCCGTGAGCCCCTAAAGGGTCTTCTTGATCTCTGTATAAGAGATCTTGTCTCTTGATCTCTCTTGATCTCATGTATGCCTGGCATACATGAGGCACCCTGTAAACGTTTGCTGGATGGATGTCCTAATGTAAGCCAGGGCATGTGCCCCAAGTCTCTGAGTCAAATACCAGAATTCTCCATCATCATCTTTCCTCAGCAGCAGAATCTTCTCTGTGGGGCTCAGTAGCTCCCACATACTTGAGCTGAAAACAGAAAAGAAATGTTTTCATGGGGAAGGAAAGGATTGAGAGGGACATGCAAGAAATTCTTCAGTAAATGCTCTATAGTGTTGCTATTTATTCTCATCTTCATACTGCTTGCAGACAATTACATCTCACATCCTCTATTATGAAAGCAACGTGTGACATTCATTCATCACTTACTCTGAGCCAAGTTCTGGGCTAGGCTCTTGACATATTTTATTTCATTTAAGGCTAACAGCAACTTTACAAAGTAGGGATTTTTATTGCCATTTTAGAGATTAGGAAACTGAGGTTAAAAGAGATTAGGTCACCTGCTTGAAGTCACAAAGTTATTAAATGTCAGAACTAGCATTGGAACCTATGTTACTATTGGTTTTTTTTCCATAGCCCATCATTTTGGACCTTCTGTTTCTGGCTACAAAGGAGTAAGGCTTTCATTCCCCACTACAAACAACTAAAAATGGGACAAAATACAAGAAACAACTGTTCTTGGACATTAGACAGCAGGCAGCACAGAACTGTCACCCCAAGAGGAGGGAGACAAATAAAGTGATCCCTAACATTGCCTAGACTCCTGCCTGAAACTAATTCCCTGGACAGTGATGCAGGGAAGTGGACCCAAAAAGAGCCCAGCAGTCTTGCTGAGTGGAAGAGACAGAGTCTGAAGTTCAGGGAGACAAGACAGCTAGAATTTGCTGGGGAAAGTACCCAAGAGGAGGGGGCTACTTAAACAAGGACCTCCAGAGAACTTCATAAGTGTTCCCTTGAGTCTTTGGCTAAAATAAAATCTGTCCATACATAAAATGAAATCCCACAAGACTGGACTATACACAGAACAATTTCCAGAGCTGACACCAGGCTGGAAATCATTTGAACTCCCACCAGCCAGAGTCAAAAGACCTTACAGTATACATGGGGTCTTTAGTAGAGAACTCAAAGGGTCTACACCTTAGTAGTGGGGTCAAGTTAGGCCCCAACTAAAAGTTTTCCTAGAAATGTCCTAAAAGAAAACTTCAAAGTATCAAAATAATCCCTAAGCAACTAAATCTACAATGTCCAGTATCTAATAAAAAATCACTATGTATATGAAGAAGGAGAAAATGTGATCCACTATCAAATCAATATCAAAAAAACAAAGAGCCCAATCCAAAAATGGGCAGAAGACCTAAACAGACATTTCTCCAGAGAAGATATACAGATTGCCAACAAACACATGAAAGGATGTTCAGCATCACTAATCATTAGAGAAATGCAAATCAGAACTACAATGAGGTATCACCTCACACTGCTTAGAATGGCCATCATCAAAAAATCTACAAACATTAAATGCTGGAGAAGGTGCGCAGAAAAGGGAACCCTCTTGTACTGTTGGTGGGAATGTAAATTCATACAGCCACTATGGAGAACAGGATGGAGGTTCCTTTAAAAAGTAAAAAAAGAACTACCATATGACCCAGCAATCCCACTACTGGGCATATACACTGAGAAACCCATAAATCAATAAGAGTCATGTACCACAATGTTCATTGCAGCTCTATTTACAATTGCCAGGACATGGAAGCAACCTAAGTGTCCATCGACAGATGAGTGGATAAAGAAGATGTGGCACATAGATACAATGGAATATTACTCAGCCATAAAAAGAAACGAAATTGAGTTATTTGTAGTGAGGTGGATGGACCTAGAGTCTGTCATACAGAGTGAAGTAAGTCAGAAAGAGAAAAACAAATACCATATGCTAACACATATATATGGAATCTAAAAAAAAAAAAATGGTTCTGAAGAACTTAGGGGCAGGACAGGAATAAAGATGCAGACGAAGAGAATGGACTTGAGGTTACAGGGAGGGGGAAGGGTAAGCTGGGACGAAGTGAGAGAGTGGCATGGACATATATACACTACCAAACATAAAATAAATAGCTAGTGGAAAGCAGCCGCATAGCACAGGGAGATCAGCTCAGTGCTCTGTGACCACCTAGAGGGGTGGGATAGCGAGGGTGGGAGGGAGACGCAAGAGGGAGTGGATATGGGGACATATGTATATGTATAGCTGATTCACTTTGTTATAAAGCAGAAACTAACACACCATTGTAAAGAAATTATACTCCAATAAAGATGTTTAAAAAAAGAAAAATAAAATGTGATCCATGACCACAAGTAAAAACAGACCTAGAAATAAGAGAGATATGATGGAATTAGCAGATAAGGACATTAAAACACCCATTATAAATGCACTTCATGTTCTCAAGGATGTAAAGGGAACTATGGACATGATGAAGAGAAAAGTGAAAGATATTCTCAAATGGTATCTCTAGTATTAAAAAATATAATATCTAAAATGAAAACTACTCTGGATGAGACTAACAGCAGATTCGACACTATGGAATAAAGCCCATCATTTTTTTTTTTTTTTAACATCTTTATTGGGGTATAATTGCTTTACAATGGTGTGTTAGTTTCTGCTTTATAACAGAGTGAGTCAGTTATACATATATATATGTTCCCATATCTCTTCCCTCTTCGTCTCCCTCCCTCCCACCCTCCCTATCCCACCCCTCCAGACAGCCACAAAGAACTGAGCCGGTTTCCCTGTGCCATGCGGCTGCTTCCCACTGGCTATCTACCTTACGTTTGTTAGTATATATATGTCCATGTCTCTCTCTCGCCCTAACACACCTCACCCTTCCCCCTCCCCATATCCTCAAGTCTGTTCTCCAGTAGGTCTCTGTCTTTATTCCTGTTAAACAGGAATTCCTTTAAAACAGGAATAAAGCCCATCATTTTATTTAATCCTCATCACACATCTGGCTCAAAGAAATTAAGAAGTTTGCCTAAGATCACACAGCTACCAAAGTTAATTTAACCCATCATTTTTCTCAAAGACAAGCACTTGTTTTCCTAAACAAACCACTACCAACAACATTATGATGCTATATTTCTACAACACTTTAAAATTTATATAAATCGGGCTTCCCTTGTGGCACAGTGGTTAAGAATCCGCCTGCCAATGCAGGGGACACGGGTTCGAGCCCTGGTCCGGGAAGATCCCACATGCCCAACTAAGCCGCTGTGCCACTGAGTCTGCACTCTAGAGCCCACATGCCACAACTACGGAAGCCTGCGTGCCTAGAGCCTGTGCTTCGCAACAAGAGAAGCCACCGCAACGAGAAGCCCAAGCACTGCAACAGAGAGTAGCCTCCACTCGCTGCAACTACAGAAAGCCCAAGCGCAGCAACGAAGACCCAACGTAGCCAAAAAAGAAAAAAATTTATATAAATCTTTGGATGCCATTTTTCCACATAGACCCAGTCCCTCCAACAATTCTCTTTATTAATGTATAATAAATAGAGTGTAGTACATTCTATCAGGAGTAATATTCCACTTATTTTTCTGAGCCTTCATTTTTTCATCTGTAAAAATGATTAAGTGATAATGCATATGTGAAAATGTCAAAAGCACACATTTGAATTTGTGTGCCAAAGGCAGCCTCCTTTGCAGCCTTTACCCACCCCGTCCTCACCCCTCCCAGCCAGTCTCAGAAGTTCACCTGTCACTCCAGTCTCCTTTCCATTCCACTCTTCCCCAGGGGTTCCGCAACTTGACTAGGTACGCAGGTCCATGTTTGGAGGTCACCTGTATAAAATGAGAACCAGTCCAGGTGGCTGGGCTGAGTGCCAATAGCAAATGTTGCAGATATCTGGGTGAGATTCATGCCTGCAGACGAGACCTTGAAATGAACGATCAAAGGCCCTGGGAGTTGGTAAGAGGAGAAAATGGCTCTGCTGCTCACTAGCTGTGAGACCTAAGGGAAGTTACTTAACCTCTCTGTGTCCCTTTCCTGATCTGTAAAATGAAACCAATAGTCACATCTACTGCAATGAGTTGAATGGGTACCCTCCTCCAAAGATACAGTTTACCTAGAATCTGTCAATGTGATCCTATTTGTAAAAAGGGTGTTTGCAGGTGTAATAAGTTAACGATCTTGGGACAAAATCACTCTGGATTAGGGTGGGTCCTAAATCCAATGACAAGTGTCCTTACAAAAGAAGAGAAGGGGAAAGACACAGAGGAGAAGGGTGTGTGAAGATGTAGGCAAAGACCGGAGCTATGCATTCCAAGCTGAGGAATGCTGGGAGCCACCCTAAGCCGAAATAGGCAGGAAGGATTCTCCCCTACAGCCATTGGAGTGAGTACGGTATTAAGGACACATTGATTTCAGACTTCTGGCTTTAAAAAACACTGTGAAAAATAAATTTCTCTTGTGGCAATTTGTTATGGCAGCCCTAGGACACTAATACACCTACTCATAGGACTGTTGTGAGGATTGAGCTAACACTGGTAAAGCAGTTAGGACAGTATTTATCACATATTAAGTGCTAAATTTTGTTAAATACATTTGTTAAATAAATATAAAATCATAAACATAAATATTTTTAAATATAAATTTTGTTATCTCAATGTGAAAATAAAAGTTCTTGACACACAAACGTGACTGCTGGAGATCTAAGAGAAAGAAGAAATCAGGTGCGAATGGAGTTGAAAAGTCTGAAACAGAGTTAAAGGGAATTGGAGGACTTTGGGGAAGTCACACTTACACTTACAGCCAAATGAACCTGGGGTTTGAACCCAACTCTAACCATTTACTGACTCAGTTTTATCATTTCAGTTTTATCATCTACAAAATAGGGATAATATATACTTTGTAAGATTAGTAGGAAAATTCAACTATTCATTCCGTAATGAATACAAAACACTTAGTGCAGTGGCTGGTCCATAATAAGCACTCAGTAAATTGTGTTAAAATAGTAATTAAAATTATTCCATAATGATTGAATTTAGTGCTTACCAAGAGGTCTTTGGGAAACTCTCAACCCTGGGACTGAATGTGAGCTGCCTGTCTACAGGATATTCAGGGGAAGCTCAGACTGGAGATATGAACGTTTAGGATTATTGGCATACAGATGGTAACCGAAATCTTGCACGTGGGTAATAGCACAGTAGTAGATTGGTGGGTTTTGCCCTCGCAGGGAACAGTCCTCCAAATACAATCTTTAAAATTTCAGTTCCTTAAGTTAACCATAATACAACATAGTGACTGGTTCCCTGACTGTTAACCATACCATGTCAGACCACGTCTGGGTTTATCAATCAGTTCACCTACACTTAAAAACTGTGGCACGTGCCCTGCTCTGCCTCGTTCTAGGTAGTAAGCTTCTGTTCCGCTCTCTGGGAGAATCATGACACTTCGAACTGTCATGCAAACAAAGTAAGTCATGTGTGTGAGAGCAGCTAGCATAGCGCCAGCCATGTAACAGGCTTCCAGGCAGCAGTGATTATCCTCATCTCCTACGCTTGTGTGCATGCAGCTCAAACCATATAATTATTTTTGGCAACTACAGCTTAGTGTTGACTCACATTGAGTTTGCTGTCAATTCAATCTCACGTCTCACATGTTAAAACATGTGAGTTCTGTCCCATCCTGCAAAAGGAAACCCTTTGAGAAGATCCTGGACTGAGCTTCAGTATCCTTGTGGCTATCAGTAGATATCATTTTCCAAACCTACTGTTCCTCCTGTGGTCTCAGTTTCTATTCACAGCATCACCATCTACCCAGGCTTCTCAGAAACACCCAGAGCACGTAACACAAATATGTAATTATGTATGTAGGATTCTATATACACACAAATACATGTATCTGTCAAATCTAAGAGGATGCTATATGCCAGATGCTAAGAATACATTTTTATCTGCCCCCCCCCCCCAAAAAAAAGCACTGAAAAAGATCACAACTCCCAAGCCAAGGAGGTGAAAGAAAGAAGAATCCAGATAGGTATCAGAATAGCACTGACATGGGGAACAAAACAAGAAGGCTCCTTTTAAAAATTTCAACATTGTTTTGAAAATTCTGGCAAAATATGAAATACAATTATAAACCTAAATAGTATGAATAAAGAAGAAAAACACTAGCTGATCCTCATTTAACTGGAAAACTAAGAATGAACTAAAAAGTACTGTATGAATGAGTATTAAGTTAAAAAACTATACATAAGATAAATACTTTTTAAAGTAATGGCATTCCTATACATAGCAATAAGCAGTTAGAAATTATCATAATAGAAATTTCTTTCATAGTAACAATAAAAATATAAAATAACTGAGAATAATCTTAAAGGAAATTTTTTTACCTATTTGTAAACTACAGAAAGTTTACACGGATGTAAAAGAATAAGTGGAAAGCTTTATCATTTCCTTGGATTGAAAATTTAAATATTAAGAAGATGTTAATTCTCCAAAAATTAATTTATAAGTTTATTGAGATTCTGATAAAAAATATCCCAATGATCTTGTTTTGTGGGGGAGGGAAGAGATGAGGAGAAGGTAATTGACAAAACATCTTCAAAATTGATCTGGATGAGTAAACACAGAGACATAAGATTAATGTCCTTATTGTAAAAACAAGGAACCTTTTTCAAAACAGTGAGAAAAACACAAAATGTTTTTAGAAAAATGAAGGATAAACAAAAATAGATAGTCACAGAAGAAATATAAGTGGCTAATAAACAAATGAAAAATTTCAAACTTTTTTGTCATAATATATACACTCATTTTTAAAAAATGAGATATTTTCCAGTTCCCAAATTGGTGAATTTATTTAAATAATAACATACAGCATTTGGGGGAAAAAAAAAACCCTAGGAACTCTAACGTCACTGCAATAGGGATATAAACTGTTGTACCTCTTTTGAAAAGCAATTTGGTGGTAAGTATCAAAAGAATTAATAATGTTGCCAATGGTTCCATTTATAAAATACATATTAAGTAAATAAAACCATGGATGAAGAATTATGTACAAAGGTGTTCATCTTTCAGTGAAACAGAATAGATAACTCTGAAATAAAGCTTTTATTATTGTTGGCAATAATTCTGCCAATGATTTACATGTTCGTTATTTAGTATGGCTAATTAAATTAAGGAATTTCCATAGAGTTGAATATTAGCATTCATTCCAGTTAATTATCTGAATAGTTTTCCAGGATATGTGAGATACACATGATATAATGTTGACTGGGGAAAAGGCAGAGGATAAATAAATACATATTGACAGAAATAAGACGGAAACTAAATTACCCGCAAATTTCATAATTACTTTTCAATTAGAAGGAACAGAAGATTTTGAGAAAGAGAGAGAGAGAGAGAGAGAGAGAGAGAGAGAGAGAGAGAGAGAGAGAGGGGGGGGGGGGGGAGGAAAGAGAGAGAGAGAGAGAGAGAGAGAGAGAGAGAGGAGGAGGGGGAAGACAACAAGGACAAGAAGAAAGTGAGACTAAGAGATTGTTAAAACATGTTAGTAAGGGAGAGTGAATATTCCTACCAGATATTAAGATGTATCATAAGATTACAGTAATTTAAATGGCATGTTACTAAAAATAGACACAGCTCGCTGAAACAGGAAAACTCTGAAATAGGGTTACCCTATTTCAATAATTTATAATAATGTGTCTTTAAGAAGACTTGACAAATCAAAAGAGAATGGAAGACTATTCAACAGAGAACTGGTAAAGAATCTGGAAATAATTTTGAATACATCACCACTCCACAACTTTATACCAAAAAAAAAGCTAATGATGAATTTTAAAGTTACATATAAAAGTTTCAAACTAGAGAACAATTACAAGAAAATGAAAACTCAAATTCTTGAGCAGGAGAACTCTTTCTAAGTTTAATGTAGTAATGGGAGAAATCATAAAGAATAAAACCAATAGCTTTGGGCTTCCCTGGTGGCGCAGTGGTCAAGAATCCGCCTGCCAATGCAGGGGACACGGGTTCGAGCCCTGGTCCAGGAAGATCCCACATGCTGCGGAGCAACTAAGCCCGTGCACCACAACTATTGAGCCTGCGCTCTAGAGCCTGTGAGCCACCGCTGCTGAGCCTGCGTGCCTAGAGCCCGTGCTCCACAAGAGAAGCCACTGCAATGAGATGCCCACGCACCGCAACCAAGAGTAGCCTCCACTCACCACAACTAGAGGATGCCCGTGTGCAGCAACGAAGACCCAACGCAACCAAAAGTAAAAATAACTAAAATTAAAAGAAAAAAACCAATAACTTTTCCTATAAAACAATTTTAAAGTCAGTAAGCAAAAAAAAAAAAAAAAATTTATAATCAAAATTGAGAAGCAAAATACAAACTAAATAAAATAAAAATAAATACAGTTTTTAAATAGAGAAAAATCGAGACATAGCTGCTGAGCAGCAGACTTTTAAAGACAGGAGCAGGCTCTGCTTCTTCAACTTCCACTGCTGTCTGCTTTTGTATTTTTAAATAACGCCTGCTCCTATCTTCTGCCTTTATCAGTTTCCTTCTGCTGGTACACATTTTGTGATGGCCATAGCCTTATTGCTTTACAATCATTAGCCAACTGCAGGCAATTCACATTTCCAGTCTCTCTGCCCATCAAGAGCCACTTCCCTAATGAGTCAAGTTTGGGGCCTGCTTCAGCACTGAGCTAGATTTCAAGAGAAATGACAGCTCAGCCTTCCTCATCAAGAAGCTTCGTCTACCTCCCCTAGTGGGGAGACAGGCAAGATTTACCATCTAGGAAAGATGCTCAAGACTTGTCCTTGTTCCAGGGTCCCTC